TTTGAAGAGCATCCTGAGCTTGTGAAGAATGACTTCTACATAACCGGAGAATCTTATGCTGGGCACTATATTCCTGCTTTTGCTGCTAGAGTACACAAGGGAAACAAGGCTAAAGAAGGATTACATATAAACTTAAAGGTACCTCATTTCCTCAGTTATTGAATTTTTATTTCCTTATTCACGTGTCTTTACTTCATTGAAAGTATTTGAACAGGGTTTTGCCATTGGGAATGGGCTTACGGATCCCAAAATACAATACGCTGCGTATACTGACTATGCATTGGACATGGGATTAATTTCGAAGTCTGATCATGATCGTATCAACAAAATACTTCCAGTTTGTGAAGTTGCAATAAACCTTTGTGGTACATTATTTTATTTCCTGTTTACTATCTGTCTTTCCTCCATATCAATTGACTCATCCGAGCTTTGCCTGGGTGAAAAAGAAAAGGGAAGGGGACTGATGAAGTAATTGGATGTTCTTTGACCACAGCAAATCAATTCTCGGTACTTTGTTTTCTTCTCAGTTTCTCTGTCTGTTTTTATCCTTTTAGGTACTGATGGGAAAATCTCTTGCTTGGCTGCCTATTTTGTTTGCAATTCTATATTCTCTGCTGTTCGTGCACGTGCTGGGGCTGACATCAATGTAAGTTATCAGCCACTTCTGTCTGTGTTCCCATTTTCTACTAATTCTAGTGCCTGTGATACTTATTCTGTACTTCGTAGAGAAATAGGTGTTACTAGCCTCAGAAATAGTAGAAATAATCCCAGAAATTTATTTTTCCTAAATTGCTACCCCATATCATTTCATGTTGAATATGTTAAATTGCTCAAGAGGTGACATTGTCCCATATGTTACCTTTTCAAAAAAAAATCCTTGGCATGCCTTCCAAAGTTTGGAACAAATGACTGAATAACTATGTTTCTGATCCATTGAGCTTTCACCTGCAGCATTATGACATCAGAAAGAAATGCGTCGGAGCACTCTGCTATGACTTCTCAAACATGGAGAAATTGCTGAATATGCATTCTGTTAAGCAGGCTCTTGGAGTTGAGGATATAGAGTTTGTCTCATGCAGTACTACTGTGTACCAGGCCATGCTTGTTGATTGGATGAGAAATCTTGAGGCTGCCATTCCAACCTTGCTTGAGGATGGAATAAAGTTGCTTGTCTATGCTGGAGAATATGATCTTATTTGCAACTGGCTTGGTAAGCTTTGACTCAACTCTTAAGCTTAATGATGGAAACTTTTCACATAAACATTTCATATGTCGTAACACATCTCCTTTACCAGGTAACTCAAGATGGGTTCAGGCTATGGAATGGAGTGGTCAGA